CCCCCCCCCCCCAAGGCCCGGATGGAGCCATTCCCGACACAATCGGCTCTCACACTGCACAAACAGAAGACCTTCTGGTTGTAATGATCAGGAGGGTTCCTTCTTTATTAGTACACCCCCCCCCAATGCTCGGATGGAGCCATTCCCGACACAATGGGCTCTCAAACTGCACAAACAAAAGACCTTCTGGTTGTAGTGATCAGGAGGGTTCCTTCTTTGACGTACGTGAATGGTCCACTGCTCTGGTCGGCATATTCTGCGCGTCCACGCCCTTTTCGGCCTGAGTACGAACACTGATCCACGTGCTCACTCTGGCAGCGCCTCTTTGAACAGATACCACTTGAGACTCAGACAGAACAACGCGCTCACTTGCAGCGCATAGACCCTATTGTACCGCTACCCGCATATAGTCGTAATACCTGGAATCTGGGCAGGTGCTCGGGGTAAATTCAAAACATCTACCCGCCCAGATGGTATCCTCGTCCAGGGATCCAAATACCATCACAAACCTACAGTACCTACCTGTCGTGCTGTCTTCGGCATGTCTTCGAAACGTTGTGCAGAACATCTCTTTGTAGTACGCGCGAACCAACACGCGCGAACCGCGAAACAATGTGATGTGGGTGTCCCCAACAATAATGCAGAGATTTGTCAGGTGCATGCTGCTGGGAACCTCTGAAGCAGAAAGAGAAGCTCATGATGAGAGGAAGAGCTCTGACCTGCTTCGCAATGCACAACGGTACATCTTCCTCCAGCTTTTCAACTAGCATTCGTCCCTGGAGGCACCTTACTAGGCGGTCCTACTTCCCACGGTTCGACTATTCATTGGCGGATGTCATTGCCACTCCTTCTGGCAACACAGTCTTACGTTCAGGACATAAGGTAGGTGTGGCCGTGCGAGTGCTCATCGGCGGATAATGCATTTGTTCCTCAGGATCCTGTGAAGGAATCGAAAAATGAGTCTGAAATTTTCAGATACCAACACATGATACATTTATCTCCGATAGAGTAGCAGATTCTTGGCATCATTACACGCGTCTGTCCGTTTCTCCGTCCACTTGGCTCTGAGGCTGGTTAGTCCGGTGAGGAATGCTGGTGGCCTTGTTATTGGCCCTGATCGTTTACTCCCAGGCCTTGCCTTCTCCTGAAAATCGATCCTTCCTTGCTCCTGCGCTGCGCTCCTGCCGTGTGTTGTACCACGGCCTATTTCGCTGTTTATTATCTCTGCCTCTTGGCTAGACTCTCTTCAGACGTTTTCCAATGTTTTTTTACTGCTGCCTAGGTGTATGCAGTACAGCGCGACAGGCACAGGCGCGGGGACGCGCACGAGCGCACATGTCTACACAGCAGTAGTAGCGACGTACACGTACATGCAACGAGATCTGTCCCCCATTACAAGAGCTTGCCGCACCAGCAACAGCTGATCCGGGCGCCGGTGGCCCGAATACGTGTGGGACAACACACGTTGGTGATACAGATGGTGGGAGACATGCGAGACGCAAGCCCCCGCCGGTGCGCACGATCGCCAGCAAACAGAGCCAGCGGGCCGGAAACCAGAACGCTTACACAGCAAAAACTTCGAAAACGGGGATGCGTCACTATCAGCCCCGGGTAGGTGGCCCAATCCGCAGCAGTCCGTAGATCTTTGCCCCGAAATCAATCTCTCCGCGCGCGCGCCACGCCGTCTCAGCAAACACTCGAGCTTCCTTCCCCACGAGGCCAACGTTCCGCCTCCGAAACCTAGCAGGCTCACATCACGACAGGAGTAGCACAGAGGAGAGAGCACGATGAAGCTTAAGCTTTCTGCCTTGAGGAGAGCTGCGGCCTTCGCCGCGCCCGTGCTTCTTCTTTCTCTCCGAGAGGTGGCGCAGGCGGCAGATGCCGTTCTTGAGGATGGAGTGATGGTGCTCACGGGGGATACAATCGAGCAGGCCATCAAGGACCACTCGCACCTCGTCGTTGAGTTCCACGAACCCTGTGAATCCCCTCCCCC